CCTGTATGTTGGCCTAGTTGTAACTGGCCTTGATTATGAGACTGAGTTAGTTGGATTTTTTCCTATAATCAATGAGAAGACCAACACTACCAAAAATCAGAATAATATGATACATTTGCATTTTAGAACAAACTACATGAAATGGAGCAAGGAGCTCAATTAGGAAAACTGTGAGAAAGAGATGTAGGGCTTTAAACCAAAGCAGTGTCTGTGTGAATATAAAAAATAGGGACAGATCTATAAAGAGTGAAAAAAAAAAAAAATCAAGAGGATTCAGTGACCAATATAATGGAAAAGTATACCATAAGAATATAATAGAATGAGACCATGATTTTGAGTTGAATAATTGGATTCTACCTTTAGACTAGAAACAAAAATGGCAGGTTTTTGAGGAGAGATGATGACTTTGTTTTTGATCATTGTACACGTGAAAGGTTTATGGGAGTGTCAAGGGCAGACACCAATGGCGTGTGGAACTAAGGTTCTGAAATACAGGGAGAACTCTCAGTTCAAGACAGATTCAGAATATAAACAATAAGTACTGCTTAAAACCACAAAATGGAAAGTAATATAAAATTCTGAGGGTTCATGAACGCTAAATTTTTAAGATGTGTTAATAAGGTGCAAACGGAGTGGCTAAAGAGAGAAGAGGGATTGATAATCCCAAAGCTAATGGAGTCCCTTTAAAATTGACAGGAACTTGTTGCAGTATAAATTTTCTGGAGATGTCAAATAAGATTAAGTTTTATAAGAAGTCATTAGACTTAACATTTCAGATATCAGTTTTACAGGAATGATGGATGGTGGGCTGAGGTATAAACTGGAGGTTTAAAGAACGACAAAATTTTGGCAGTGCAAGGGGAAAAAATGGGGCATTTTGTTTAGAATGGAGAGATAAACTCATAAATGTGAAGGTGTTCTGTAATTATAAACATAAAGCATAAATCTAATGGAATGTGAAATATAACACAATTAGGTTATTAAGGAGTCCTGTGTGGTGCTGTGTATTGATGTGCTGTACTGCAAAGTTAATTTGAACCTCAAAGTTGGTGGTTCAAGCTCATCAGTCGTTCCTAAGAAACACTATACAGGGTCCCTATGAGTCAGAACTGACTTGAAGACACTTAACAACAACAATAGACTACTCCTCCTCTGCCAATAATTGTTGTTAAGTGCCTTGGAATTGATTCCAACCCATAGTGACCCTGTATAAGGTTCCTGAGGAGCAGCTGGTGAGCTTGAACCGCCGACCTTGCAGTTCAAATGGCTTTGCAGTCTGGCGTATTAACCCACAGCGCCACACCTAAATGGTGTTACAAAAAAAACAAAAACAAAAAACCCACATGTCTTGCATATCTTTCAGGGAAATAAATAGAATATAAACAAAATATTCAAGCCTCCAAGTTTTGGTTTACCTCAGTTCTATCTTCATCAGGCTTTTGTTGAGTACACCAAAACCCCCAAACCAGTTGCAGTTGTGTAAACGATGACTCATGGCTACCTTGTGTGCTTTAGAGTAGAACTTTGCTACCTAGGGTTTTAAGTCTGATTTTTTCAGAAGTAGATCACCAGTACCTTCTTCTGAAACACCACTGGGTTGACAAGAACTCGGCTTTTCAACTAACAGCCAACACTTCAGTGGTTTGCAATACCTAAGACTTCCTCTCTGAATATTCCACCCACCACCCACTGTTGTCAAATGGCTTCTGACTCACAATGACTTTGTAAGATAAAATGGAATACCACAGGGATTTCCAGGTTGTAAATCATTACAGACTTAGACTGCCTTATCTTTTCCGTCACTAACCACCAATCTTTTGGATGCCAGCCCAATGCTTAATCCACCACACCACCAGGGCTCCTTCTGTGAATCTATGTGGCCTTCTATACCCAAACCGTTAAGACTTGGATTTTATAACCATTTACATGGTTTATTCTTGGTGTGGTGCTGTGA